AAATTGTTTCATATACTACTTAATGAAATTTTAATGAAACTGTTTCATGTATTTCTCTAAAATTAAAATAATGAAGATGATAATATCCATGATTAACACCCTCAACAATAAAAATGGTTAATGAACCTCTCATAATTATAAAAAAATAAACAAAATGAAAAATTATGATTGGTTGAATAAGATTTTCACAGTTTTTACAAATTGAGTGGTTTTTATTTGAACCCACCCCTATATATGAGCTGTTTGTTTATGATATGTAGGGTTTTTGTTGACCTATGACACTAAGTTAGATAATGTGGTAAATGAGGAATATTAGTTTGAGATAAGACTTAGAAATGTAAAGTGGAGCATAAATATAAGATGTAAAGCAATATGCAATCATCTCATCTCCTTTTTATCATGCATTTTTACTATTCAATCTATTCCTCATCTCATTGCTCTACAATATCACCTCATGAATAACAACTACTTATCGTAAACATCTTCAACCACAAAGAGGATTTTTATTCTTCTTTGGATTTGAACCTGAAACCTCCTGGTACTTTTGATCTTTTGAGTCAAGCTCAAACCAATCAGGCACTACCCTTATGGTTTCCAAGTTATTATCATTGTGATCTACAAAGTCGTATATGACGCTCTCATATATACTTAGGATTTTCGATTTTTTTACATCTTGCATAAACGGGATGCGTTTTTATCGAGATCTATTTCGAACTTCAATATATAATAAATGTTTTATTATCAACTTGTATTACGATGTATCATCATCCATTGTAAAATCATTATTGCCACAAAGACTTTGACAACTCAATTGAAAGCCAAATGGGTTATGGATGATGCCATGATCAAAACAACTGTTCTATCATTTCTTAATTGCTTAATTTCAATCCACTTACAACCTTAAAATACAAGGCACCAAATGGGTAATAAGTTTACATTCGAAATAAACAACAACGGTTTGATCAAACTCCTATTCACTGTACGTTCCTTTTCTGTTAATCTAGATCCAACAGAAAACACGTAATGCCAAAGCCCACAAAAAAAGTCAACTTTATGTATATTCACGTTTTTAAGAAGGCTGAACTAATGATGGAATCATGAACAAGTGTTAACAACCACTAGTAGTAGAATACGTCGCTTGTTACCATATAATACTGGTCAGGGTCATGGAGTTGACTATTAAAATCTATCGACACACGTGTTAACTCAATCTAAGTTAAATGACCAAAATGACCCTGTTGCGATATAATGTGATGGTAAATTGTATAAATTTATAAATAAACACAAGTATGTAAATATAAATAAATAAATAAATAAATAACCATAAGAGTGGTTATTTATTAGTTTGAGTTTGGCTCCAAAGGTCAAAAATACAGAAGGTCTCAGGTTCAAATCCAATGAGAGATAAGAATCCCCTTGTGGCCACGGAGGTTCAAATACGGTGACTCCGGGATATTTGCAAAGCAGGTGATCGTCCTAAAATTAATCGGCTCGCATAACGGGTTGGATATTCAGGTTAATCAAAAAATAAATAAAATAAAGGAAAAAAGAGAAAAAACAGAAGAGATGGTAGTGGGTGAAGGGTGTACCAGAGAGAGCCAGATATTTATCACCATGCTCAACTTTTGCCATAATGTGAGACTGTCCTTTTGATTCCAAGACAGATAACCAATAATACCCTCAGCTCACGTGTTATTCATGTGACCCTATTTGCCTTATTACTTATTATTTGCATTTTTAATATAATTAAATTAAAACTTAGCATATTTAATGCCATTTGATTCGTTTTTCAGATCATATCATAAACGCGTACATTTGAAATCGCATACGATGTCGTACAAAAGAAACATGTGGAAGCAAGTGGTTGAAGAGGATTTCCGAGTTCTTTTTTTTTTTTTTTTGGTAACTGTAGGGTCCAGATTAACTTGAGCGTATTTCAACTGATTCCGTCAAGGGGTCAGAGGAAATCCAGCAATGACCCTGAAGAGAATCAAATTGGCTACCTATAAGAAGAAGCAGAGGCGGATCCATAAATTTTTCAAAGTGGTATCACAAAATAAATAACGTAAGGACCCAAAGTTCCATTTTGTAATTTTTCATATAAACCTCTGAAGTTTTAATCTTCATGACTTGTGGTTACAAATAAGGACCTAAAATATTTTACACTTAGCCCTAGGGGTGCTCAAAAACCTAATCAACCCAACCCGAAATAATCCGATGCCTATTTTAAACCGTAGGTATTGAGTTATTATTATTTGAACCCAACCAAACCCGATGAACTCGAAACCCTTTTTTTATTGAATTTTAATATAGACAATTACACTATCATGTATGCTCTTTATTTACGTATATTTTCAATCTATTCCCATTTTTATATAACACATTCATATATATGTTCAACAACTGTGAACATATATATGTAAATTGAGAAAAATAACTGAATGTGATATACATAAGAAATATAGATAAGTTGTATCAAATGGTTGATGAAGAAAAAAAAATTATGAGTAGAGAAATAACATATTCGATGTTTGAATAATATTTTAATGTATCAAAGTATCAACCCGACCAACCCATTCGGTTTCGGTTGGGTTGGGTTAAGATTTTTCAAATCGCAAGCATTGAGTTGGGTTGTTCAAATTTCTTCAACCCGATCAACCCAACCCATGAGCACCCCTAGCCCCATCGTTTTAGTGGTTTGACGGGCAACCACCCTCTTAAAGATAGGTCCGCCTCAAGGCCTAGCTTTTATTTGTCGGTTAATCCAATCGCTTGAAGTTGGTGTTCCAAAAGATACACTTTAAGGTTACGGACTTACGGTTTTGGATGGATTTTAAGATGTTCGATTAGTTGTAATATGGCTATGGCGAAAAACCGCAAATTAACCCATTGGTTTGCACATATATAGTTATAAAAACCCGATCTTAGGTTACGCCAAGAGACTCGAGTAGAAATAAGCACATAATAAAATACGAAGGAGCTCGATTTGAACATGACAGCAAGAAGCGAAAAAACCTTCTTGTTCAAGCTGAAGATTACTGAGGTGGTGCATTTTGCATCTCGACCACCTTCTTCCACGACGGTCGGCTCGAGATTTCGTCCCACCATCGTCCCACATTCTTTCTGGATGTAAACAGCTCGGCCCGGTTGGCTTTCTCAACCAAATACTGAGTGTTAGGCAAGTGCGAGAGGTCGGCCAAAGTGAACTCATCACCGGCTAAGTATCGGCTCTCTCCAAGCCTATTTTCATAGACATCGAGCACTTTCACGAGCTTTGCTTCGTTCTGCTTGATCAAGGCCTCGTCTTGTTTGAGTTTCATTCTCGGGGCAAAAACGAGCTGAAAGGCTAGAATTGAGCTTGGAGGATTGAAACTTTGTGATTCAGCTTCTAGCCATTGGTCAATTGAAGCTTTTACCAATGGGTTTGTCCCAAAGAGTCCCATGGTTCCTTTGCTTGGATTCTTCTCTGCTATATACCGACATATAGCTCGTGATTCTGTTATTAACACAAAGAATCCTTTCGTTTTCAGTAGTTCGAGTCAAGTATATACGTATTTCCGGAAAAGAAATTCACTTTTGAATCTTCATGGATGAGTCGGGACATGACAAAAAGAACTTGTTTTCTCAACTTTAGCCCGACAATTAGATTGCTAATCTAATTGTAATCAGGGAAATGGGACACGATAGATAAATTACTAATCTACCAATGTCAAATTAAAACTTCAAATACATTTCACAGTTCTTTCACCTGTCTACCTCACTCTCACCAATCTAGTCTGGTCCTCTCTGCGTACCAAATGCATTAAGCACATAGGAAAGCGATAGAGCCTTCGTTTCCTAAGAAGGAAAACATAAACAACGACCTAGTGCACAAAGACTACGTGGTATTTCATAAGCCCACGACTTGCCTAATTTGAACCGATGGCATCTAGTACTAAAAACTTACAACCCAACGTTGCGTTATCGCCAAACTCACCACATTTTTCCTTTCCTTAAAAGAGGGTCTTATTACAAGAAACAAGAATGTGTATTGCATCACGTGGTTTTTCTACATTTAGTAACTATGGTGAATTGATGGTAACATAAATGGTGATCACATATTTGCACATATATACACAAAGGAAAACCGGAAAGCATGGGCCTAAATCTCACCCAATAGCTAGTCACACATCAGCTAGTTTATCTGCTAACGGTTAGCACAATGTAGTGGAGAAGGTGGCTATCGCCAACATGGTGCAGCTTATCACACAAACATAATGGGAATCTGGGAAAGTAAAGAAACAATTTCATCTTTAAAAAGGTTAAAACAAAGGTGTAGATATAAGATATTACCAAATAGGGTGATTTCATCATCTTGAAATGCTGGAACTTGGCCAAAGGGCTGTACCAGAAAGAGTAAGAGAGACAAGTCAATGGGATACCATTTCTTAGAGACATTAAAACAAACAGCTACAAGACTTGAATAAAACTACATTAATCTTCATAGCAGGTAATTCAAAAGGGGGGAAACGAGTTGCATTACTTCAAATTCCCCTCGACCATAAGCTAAAAACACCAGAAATTAGACTCTAATTTGTGGAATTGAGAGATAAGTAAATAAAGAACAATGAAAAATGAGAGTAACCCCGATAGGATTCAATGATATGTACCTGAATTTTAAGGTAATCAGGTTTCTTGTGTTCGCCTTTAGCCATGCTGATGGGAACAAGCTGAAATGGGACATCTTTCTCGAGAAGACAGACCAAAACTCTTGAGACAGCGGTCGACAATGGCGGTCCATACACGGTCACCGGCGTAGCCATTGAAGTATATCGGATAAGTGAATTTGAGTGGGTTCAGTTTTAAAAGCAAAGTGTTGAACCAGAGATTTTTATTCGGGTTTTGCTACATACAACTCCTTTTTAATTTTAAATCCGTCATTCCCATTCTTTGATTGAATAACACTAGTGGTCCCTATAATTTGCTCAAATTTTATATTTAGTCCCTAAGATAAAATATATACACCGATGGTTTTTTATTTTCAATTTCATAACACTCAGGGTCTGTTTGTTTTTTCAAATTACCTTTTAATATCTCTAAAGTTCGATTCATTCAGACGTTTGGATAATAAGAGCATTTGTTTTATTTCTAAAATAAGAGCTTAAAAGCTCTAAATGTCCTCTGTGTAAATTCATTTATGTAAGTATATTTTTTAGTAATAAATTCAATTTTATTCATAATAAACAAAAACAATTAACAAATTGTTGGCAATATCATTTTATAAGTTTTTATTTATTTTTATTAATTACAATAAATTTTATAAAATATTGCTATTTAAACTCCTTTTAATTTTTAAATATATAATTTCTTTTTTTTGAATTATTGCACGTTTTTTCGATAACGTAAGATAACTGAAATAAAAAAAGAGAATACAAATTTTAAAATAATTTTATTGTGCCAAGTTTAAAAACTACATCACCTTGCTCGTACGGTCTAACTTTTAACAACATATAAATCCTAAAGACATAATTATCAAAAACAATATTATGTTATATTATCAGTGTTCTAAAAACTCGTCACAACAGTCGTCATGACTCAAGAGTTGTGTTTTACGTCACATTAAGCATGTAGCATGTCATGACCCAATGTGCGGTTTTTCTAACACGATATCCGACATCTTATTTATATATAAAGTTTACGCTGGCATAATATTAGCTTAGATAGAGTACCTCCTTAGCCATCTACTTTAAAATATCTGATTTCTGTAAATTAAGTCAGGCTGAAACTTGGGTGTTGTTTCAATGTTACTAATAAAAATACTTTACACGTTTGTTGAACAAAAACAAAATAACATTATTTACAAATATTCTACCCGTTAATCCACTGTAACTTTCGGTTTCCACTCTTTGGCTCGTTCTTTATATTCAGCCAATTCCCTTTGATACCGCTCTTTATCCTTCAATCCTTGATTTTGATAAACCTGTTTTTACACATAGTTTGATATAAACTAAAACGATAATATAGTAAAAATTTATATATAAACGGGTTATTCGTACCATTTTATCTTCGGGGCAAAGGTTGGTCCATGACTCGCCGATCATCTTTGTGAACTCCCTTTCTCTTAGCGGATATTTTGATTTGAGCTCAGCATGTTTTTCTGCAAAGAAGAAATTATAGCCACTTCGATTAGTTTTTGGGCGAGTCGGGTCTCCTTCATTTCTTCTCTTTCTTCTCCTTCTCGTCGAATCCAAGTTGTTCGAAACAATGACGCTGTGTTGCGGGTGATAAAGTACCCCATGGAGGATCTCTGTGTCCAATTGCATTGTTACTATATAACCGTATTCAAACTTGGTATCAATCATCCCAGTAGCTTGGAAAGATGAATGACCTGTAACGAAAAGAGAAATCGTATAGATTTTAAAGGAATACGATATATAATATCTTTCAGTAAACCACGGAAGTTCCTGATCCCACATAGATCGAAGAAAAGAAATGTTGTTGCTTTATATACCATGATGTATATGTAATTTATGGGTTAAGAAAAATATTATGTTGTTTAGCATGGTATCAAGGTCAGTTAAAAAATATATAAATGGCTCTGATACCATGTTAAAGAACTTACAAATATTCATAATATCTATGGATATTTTACCTGAGTGAGTTGAGGATTTTGGTGTCAAAAAATAGGTGTTTTCGTAGGGATACAAGAATTTTAGGTAGCGTTTTCTCAATGCATACGAAGCACTTGTGGTGGTTGGCGAGAACCCGAAAATTGCACTCACCTCCCTCCACTTCTTTAGTGTCACGACCTATTATCAGCAAGATCTAATAGTTAAATAATATGAAATACGCATGATAGATACTATAAAACAAATGACTTTTACCCATAAAAATCATCCAGAAAAATTTCCGTCAGTGATTACCTGATGGATCACCTAGAAAATATCAATGGTTCGATAGGATCCAATGTTTTTCGAGAAAATATCAATTGATCGGCCAAAGAATCCTTGGGTAATCTGTCACTGATTTGAGTTATCCACCAACTCTTGTGACGGTTTTGTGATGAATCACCCTTTAACCACAGATTTTCCCGGAAAAAGTCCGTAGTAAGAATAACTTATGCAGTTGAAATAAATACACAAACAATCAATTTTGCTTTCATTTGTTTTTGCACAACCGACTTAGAACAGTATCGATTTAGTAATTTAAATATAATAACATAAGAATAAATTTTTCATATATGAATGGTGAATCATTAGTACATAAAAGGAAAGGTGGATTCACATATGAATCTTCATATGTGAATAATTGGTTAAAATGTAGATAAAATACGTGAGTTAACATATGTATTTTCAAATGAATTTTTTTCTTTCGATTTACCAATGATTCACATATGAACCACTTATTGTTACGTTATTACTATTATCCTTTCTTATTTAAACCTCTTCCCCCCTATATATACATATATATATATATACATATATATATATATATATATATTAAAAATAATAAAAGAAATAAAAATGAACCTTGCTAAAACCACCCCTCTTGGTCACCTCTATGTACAAGACATGCAAATTTAGCTCCTTTCCTCCAATCACAGGAACCCTATCATTTCAAATTAAATATTAAACCATATATATATATATATATATATATATATATATATTAAATTGTAACAAAAAAACCATATTATAAAAAAAATTAAATAAACAAACATTAATTGTGTATTGTATATATGCAATTTTCAGAAGTAATCACCATATTTTATGAAAACAATGACTAATTAATTTGTAACCAAAGCTTATTTGAAAAAACCAATTAATGTTATAAATTTATTTTTAGAGGAGGAAATATTTAAAAATTCATTTTAAAATGATTATATATTACCAAATAATAGTAATTAAATTATTAGTTGTGATTAAATCGTTTAAGATACAATCTAATAATCACAATTAATATCAAACCGATTATTTAACATGCAATAATTACCGGCAGAAATAAATTAGGGACTGTTTGATAATTCCTGAATGGTTTGGTACAGAATGATTAAGAAGCTTTCATGATATAGTATAAAATAAAATATAATTGTTTGGTAATTGTGTATAATGAAATTAAGGCTCTTAATGGTTAAGGGAGATCCATGATACAAAATCATTCAGAGAGTTTCAAAACCATTAAGAAACAGACTTTTTTTTTGCTAAACAATATTCACTTCTTAACGATTCAAATGTTGCCTCTTAATGAAACTATTAAGAGGTAAACAAACAACCCCTTATATTGCAATTTAAAAATGATGATAATTAATTAAATAATCAATTTGAAAATAGGAAGGAAAGTGGATTACATAAGTTTGGTACCCATGAACCGATGGAAGCTACGGAGTGTTTCCCAGAAGAGAGAAGAGTCTTTGACGACGTCGTCATGGGAGGCCAGTGCCACTGGATAAGACTCGCCCTCACTCCCAATTCTCTCCGCCGGTAACATTTTCCAACCGGCGACATCAAAGGCTCGCCGGAAAATCAAGAAACCGACTGCCGGTACACACAGTGAGACACAAGTTGAAGAAGAAAGAAGAGATAAGAAGGGTAGTGGTTTTAAGGCAGAAGATGGTCAAATACCAACAATTTTTTACTGCTGTTTTTTTACCACGGTTTACTGCCAACAATTTTGGCTTTTATCTTCCCCTTTTAATAACAAAATCACGTTACAAAATTTGTATATTTGTTCGTCCAATTTTTGGAATTTTTATAGAATATGTCTCATCAGTTTTGTCGAAAATATATACAGGATTATGAGATCTTTAATATCCATTTTAAGCCATTAATTTAAGATAATTAAGGTGATAATTATCGCTATTTATTTGAATAAAAAATTAATGCAATTTTTAGAAAATTTCGTACATATTAGAGGTGCTCATGGGTTGGATTGATCGGGTTGAAGACATTTTAACAATCCAATCTAATGTTTGTGGTTTGAAAAATCTCAACTCAATCTAACCCAAACAAAAATGTAACCCAACCCAACCCGAACTGTACAGATTGGTCAGGTTAGTCGGGTTGATATTTTGATACATTAAAATATTCTAGTTACTTGTTACCTTGAATATGTTGTTTTCTCTACTCATAATTCTTTTTTCATCGTCAATCTTTTGGTATAGCTTATCCATACTTCTTATAAGTATGTGATGGAGTAATTGTGTAGTGTACGTTTTAATAGAGACCTAATAATCATATTAAGTCCAAGAAATAAAAGTATATCGGTTCTTCGGATTGAGTTGGGTTCAAATGATCGTAACTCAATTTCAATCCAATACCTACGGTTTGAAAATTTTACAACTTGATTAGACATCGAGTTACTTCAGATTGGGTTATTACATGTTTGGTTGGATGGGTTGGTCGGGTTTTTGAGCACCCCTAGTATATATCTTTTTCTCTCCTCTTTCTGTAACATACACACAATCGAATCTGCACACAAGGTGAACATAATATAAACAACCTTAAAAAATTTATTAGGGTGTTCATAATATATTCACAAGATTCGCATAATGTTCACAAGATACATATCACATCTCGTAGATTTAAAGTGTATTCACAAACTATAATACTATTTCTAAGAAAGTATTCATATTGTTTCGCATGTTTTGTAATTTTGTTCTTGTGTGTGAGTATATAAGTGCATGTTTTATGAATAAACATATTTTTGTGTTTTTTCACTGCCTGTTTGTTTTTTCAAAACTATCTCTTAATACCTCTGAAGTCTGAATCGTTCAGACGTTTGGGCATTAAAAGCGTTTGTTTTTTTTAAGTAAGAGCTTAAAAGCTTTAAACGTCTTCTGAAATTTTAAGTAGTAAACGTGTCCCCTAATACCTATTAATCTTAATCCGCCTTCTATCTAATGATTCATATTTCGGGGCGGAAATAGATTTGTTAGCAAAAACTATTTATCGTTTATAATTTTGTACATAATTATTTATCTTACATATTTTTGCACTAGTTTGACTGATTTAGATTTTAGACTTTAAACGTAAAAAGAAACAGTTTTATTGGTCCAAATTTTAAACTTCAACATCACCTCTTATTGAATAAAAGTGAAATCAGATTTTAGATTTTAGATTTCAGAAAAAAAAACAAACATCACATAATACATTTTTTTTAACATTTCATTTGATTTACGAGAATTTAATATTATATTTTTAGAATATTGTCTTTGTTCAAAAAAAAAATGTGGTCCAAAATAGGTTTTGTTCACATGGATAATGCTTTTACGTGAATAAAAGTTGATTTGTTAATAAAAAAAATTCTGAATTTTATAAGTCATGAATAAATTAAATATAATTAATTTATTACAATTTTTCATAATTAAGATAAATATCTAAATCATTTATTGGTTGCTAGAAGGGTAATCGCGCAATACAATGAGATACATATCGATTTTAATGTCGTTTTATTCTGTCTCCGTCGATATTATAATACGATTTTATGTAGTACTGAAAAAAAAACGATAATTTATTTTTATTTTTTTGAATAAAATATAAATTTTAAGGTATCATAAAATTTCGAAAAAAGATTTTAGTATCAAATTAAATATTTAAAAGTTCTTTTTTTATGTGTAATTTCTGTAATTCAATTTTTTATCATAATTTAAGTTCGATTTAATAATGAAGTCACTTGTTTTAGTTTAATAATATAATTTTTTTATAAAGATAATAATTAGTATTTTGTTAGAATTCAATAATAAATATTTGATTATATTTATCTACAGTTAGTTACACGAATTCAAACATGAAGCTTTAATAAGTTGTATTTTAAGCAATATGCATCAATAGACAGTACTTAATGCATAAAAAATGGTTTTAAAAGTTTTTTATCAAATATTTTATAACATAATATAGATAATGATTTATTTAAAATAGGAAAGATAAATTAAAACCATATGTAATGAAATTGGTGATGAGGAAATTATATCCTTTTTTATTTTGTTTGGAAAAATTTATTGAGCCTCTGAAATATGAGCATCATTGGGTGGCTTAAATTTATCATCATTATCTTATATGTATATTAATTGGCTATATCTATAAATTCAAGTTTTTCCATCTATATATCATATTTTCTTTTTATATTTTTTAATTTAATATTATAGTTTGTGAACACACTTTAAATCTATGAGATCACTAAAATTTGTGAATATACTGTGAACCCCAATTAAATCAGTAAAACTAAATCTAAACTTACCACTTGTGAACACATGGTGACACCCTAGTAAAGAGAATTAAGGTTTTTTTTACATTCTGTTCACCTTGTGTGCACATTTAGCTATGTGCATATGTATGTTAATACATAAAATATATATATCAGGGGAGAGTCGGAGATGGTTCACCGAGAGGTTGCAGGGTTAGGAAAAAAGTAGGGTTGTAGGTTTCGGGAAATGTGTTGCTATCTGTAGTGCAATGTGGGAGGAAAGGTGCAACGTAAAGCCACCGATATAGGAGGGCACTTGTCTTGGAGGCCGTTGGTGTTGTCGGTCGTCAGTGATGGAACTTACGATAGATTGAGAAAAGAGTAAGAGAGGGGTCGGTGAGGAAAGAGGGGTACGTGGGATGTGAGAGGGGAAGAGGGTACACAAATATAAATATAATAGTTTATTTTTATTTATTTTAAGAAAAACTAAATAAAATAGTCAAAAAGATCAAAATACCCCTTAGTTAACTGTTGAAATCTAACGGAGTTAGCGTAGGGACTAAAGGCGAAATGAAATGGAAACCACGAGGATGTGAAAAAACCAGTTTTTGACCAAGGACTAAAATAGTTATAAACAACAAACCACGGGGACAAAAATTGTAGTTTATCTTTATTTAGTAAATATAACAAACTTTTAAGGTAATTTTATTTTGTATCCATGTATTTTGACCGGGTACCAGTGAAATTTGTTACATATGTTGATCTGGAAACTAATGTTAAATGTTTTAGGTAATATGTAAGAATAACAACGGGTTGGGTTCGGGCCGGTTATTGGTATCTCCGTTCCCGAAAACGATAACTAAAACTGTCCTCATAACCGCCCCGATCCCCCTCGGGTCCCCACGGTTTCCCCGATCCTCGTTTGGGATCTCGTTAAGGGTAAAAATCATCTTTTTCCTGTTCACCGTCGGTTATAACTAAACCCGAAACCGATCAAAAAAAATTACAATATGTTAATTTTTACAACTAAAAGTAATTTTTAAAAAAAATGTAAGTTTAAATGTCTCAAACATAATGGAACCAGTTACAAACAATGTATTAGATTACATCGTACAACTAAAATCACAATTAGACAAACAAAACTAGACTTTTTGGTAAGCCTTAGTTGGGTTGTTGAATTAAAGTGGATAAAAGTCTTTTAAATTTTAATTTTACTATTTTCTTTTATTGATATTATATATATATATATATATATGTTATATATATATATATATATGTATGTATGTATGTATGTATGCATGCATGCATGCATGCATGCATGTATATGAATTAAAGTTAGTATATACACACATATCAGGCCGGGGATTACCCCCCCCCCCCCCACCCCCGTTTCCGTTAAAATCATCGAATTTGTTCCCGATCCCTGTCCCGTCCACGATAAGATGTCTCTAAACCAGACCCGAAAGTTTCGGTTTTCAATTTTTAACATCGGTTTCGGTTTTTTTCCCCCAACCCCTAGTAACATGTTAATTACATGGAAGTAATATTCAATTGGATCGCACTAAATAACCGTATAGTAAGCGAACTTGGTATCAATCATCCAGATAGTTGGAAAAAAGGAATTGAAATAACCTATAATGAAAAGTAGGATCAAAGCTATAATGGTGTCTGGTGTGCCACCATATTATTCCTTCGTCAAAGGATAAAAAAATTTAGATTCGTAAAAGGTACGGTCATATTAATTTATTGTGTGTCACCATATATATTTTGAAACTACAATGAGAACAAGTTTTATTTGGTAGAGTTGGTTTGCAAGACTTTTATTCCACCTCAGACCCAAGTTCGAATCATGTTAGTGTCATTTTCTTAATCAAATGATGCCACCGTTTGAAAAAAAATTCCGTAAATTTGTTTCTTATAGTCAAACGGTGCCATCGTTTGAAAATTTTTCCCTATATTTTTTTTATTGTCAAATGATGCCACTGTTAGAAAAAAAATTATGGGTTTGTCTCTGATGAAAAGCCAAATCGTATATATTTTAATAGAATAAGATGTTTCCTTCTTTTTGTTGTCAATTCCCACTTTGAAGACTAAACATAACACAGAGGATCTTTGAATCTGATTGCAACGTTACCAAATGACTGTATATGAATTTGGTATCAATTATCCTAGTAGCTTGGAAAGACGAATGACCTATAAACGGAAAATAAATCGTACAGATTTTGATGGATGATGTATAATACTTTCAYCAAAGCAGATTAAATCATAATCCCACATAGAYAAAAGAAAAGAAATGTTGGTACCTAATATACCATGGTGAATGTGCACTATATGGGTTGAGATTTATATTATGTTATTTAACATGGTGTTAGGATTGGTTAAGTAAAAAATTAACCTACTCTGATACCATGTTAAATAATTTGTAGATATTCTTTAACTTTTTGTTTTGTGTTCATCGAGACAACCTTTTTTAATGGTTCAAGACATCTATGTGTAATTGCTTGACTGAGTTAAGGATTTCCTTGAAATAATTTTTATTTTATTTTTGTAATTTTCTTACATTTTTGTATTTTATT